AGTGTTGAGAGATGCACTGATCTGTGGGTACAGCAATAACCCATTAGGAGTTGTTGAATACAAAGTCATTGAGCATAGTAATAGCAGTAGATTCTTCCCAAGGGCCTGTCTAGCCGCAGCGTCTTGATCCAGAACACGGTGTGAGGTGTGGATTCTATCCTGCAGAGTGGGCCTTAAATCCAATCAGGAAATGGTCACTGCTCTAACCAACGCTGCCATTGCACCACTGAGCAGATCTGTCACACCAGTCATCGCTGTAGCATGTAGGGCTTATAGCTAGGTGAGCTCTATGGCTGTTTTCTTCTCTGGCACCTTCTAGCACTAGGAAAGCTAGGTAGGGTTGAAACTCCTCCACATTGTATGATTCAAGTAGGTGATGTTTTACAATATTAACTGAACCATTTTTACACTCCCACTAGCACCGAGTAAGTGTTCCCCTTTCCTTATATCCATGCCAGCATTTGCTTTTTGGATCTTGGCCATTCTGACCAAGATAGGTTTAATTTGCATTTTCCTGATGACTAAAAGTGTTGAACAATTTTAAAACTATTACTCAGCTATTTATATTTATTTTGTATTTTGAGAACTTCTGTTTAGTTCCAAGCCCCATTTTTAAACTGGGTTGATTGCTGACTTTATTTTTTTTAATCCTTTGTATATTCTAAATACTAACCTTCTGTTAGATGTGCAGCTAATAAGTTTTTTCTAATTAAAAAATTATAATTAACAATCGTTTCGAGGTGTTTCTTCCTTTTCTATTTTATAGAATATTTTTAGAAATATTGGTTTTAGTTCTTGAAAATCTGGTAGAATTGTGCACTGAATGCATCTGGCCTTATGCTTTTTTTTTTTTAATTTGGGAAATTTTTAGTTACTTCTTTTATTTCATTGGACGTTTTCCAGTCCAATCTGTTAGTATGTGTCTCTTAATTGGGAAATTGAGACGATTAGTAATAAGAGTTATCACTGAACAATTTGTGTTCGTTTCTGTTGTTTTGTTGCTTTCATGGTGTTTTATTATGGCTTTTTGATTAAATGTTCTGGAATTGTTTATTCCTCTGCTCTCTTGGGTGTGTTTAAACTTCTCTTCAGAACTAAGTATTCCCCCAGCGGATGATTCTCTGCAGCTTTCTCCAGCAGGCAATGCCCAGTCTCTTGTATCTCTTGAATTTCTTTGAAATCTAACCTGCACTGGGAAGGAGGGTAAACACCTGCCATAGTGTGACCACTGTGATGGCTGATCTCCACTCTCAACTTTGTGGGGTTTAGTATCACCATGGAAACACACCCCTAAGTTTGTCTATGAGGAAGTTTAACAAGGAAAGGCCACCCTGCCTGTGGAATATTGATGGAACACCGCTCCATCCCATGGGCTGGTGTTCAGGAATGACTGAAAAGGAGAAGACAATGACCTCTTATCAGTTTGTTAAGAGGAGTATTTCCCCAAACTACTTCACCATGCAGCCTCTTCTCCAAGTGGTGTTTGTCTATTCGTATCTTAAGAAAGCAGGGTTCTTCTTCACACAGTGTGGGAAATGCTAGCCTGTGTTGCTTGTACTTCCCTGGAATCATCTAACCTCCCTTAAATTACAGGGACCAACTTATAAAATAGTCAAAAATATTTTAGAAAAACCAAATGATGTTAATCCTATATTTTCCTCGAACACAGCTGGCCTCAACTGGTATTTGTTTGTGTTTTTTGGTTTTTTGAAACAGGGTCTCTCTCTCTCTTTGAAGTTTTATTTTTTTCTCTTTTATTTATTTTATTCACTTTACATACTTGCAGCCCCTTTCCGCCTCCCCTCCCAGTCCTGCCCTTTTCCCCTGTTCCCTTCACTCTCCTCTTTTCCTCAGTAAAGGGGAGCTCCCTTTCTTATCCACCCCAGCTCACCAAGTTGCATCAAGACTGAATGTACCTCTTCCCGAGTGGCCTGTAAAGGCAGTCCTGCCAGGGGAAAGTAATCTAAAAGCTAGCAAGTGAGTCCATGTCCCTTACTAGAGTGAAGTTCCCATTTCCCTTACTAGAATATCCACTTGAAGCCTAAGCTGTCCGTTTGCTACATCTTTGTAGGAGGCCTAGGTCTAGTTCATGCATGGTCCTTGGTTGATGCTTCAGTCTCAGCAACCCCTCTGGGCCCTGGTTAGCTGGCTCTGTTTGTCTTCTTGTGGAGCTCCCATCACTTCTGGTCCTTTTCTCTTTCTTCCCACTATTCCCCAAGATTCCCTACGCACGAACCAATGTATAGCTGTGAGTCTCAGCATCTGTTTTGAGGTGCTGCTAGGTAGAGCCTGACAGAAGGCAATTCTGACAGGCTCCTGTCTGCAAGCTTAGCAGTGAATCCTTCATAGTGTCCGATAGTGTGGGTCTTTGGTTGGGCCAGGAATGGGTTGGGCATTCCCTCGATCTCTGCTCTATCTGCAATCTCTTTACTAGAAGACTAGTTTACTAGGATGTCCTCTTCGGTCTCTATGGCCTCTGCACTCTGCTTGAATACCCCTCACATGCTCCCAGGAGCCTACCCTGATTTAGGTCAGAGATGTCCCCACCCTCAGTTTCTCTTCCTCTACAGGCCTCTGTCATCTCCTCAAGTCAGATTTCTACTCTCTTTCTAACTCTCTGTGCCCCCTCTTCTACCCCTCTCTTCAGCCATTACCTCTGTCTATTCTATCTCCCCTTCCGAGTGAGATTTATGCATCACTTGGGTCCTCCTTATTACTTACCTTCTTTGGATCTATGCCTTATAGTATGTTTAACATATACCATATAGCTAAAATCCACTTATAAGTGAGTACATACCATGTGCATCTTTCTGTGTCTGGGTTACCTCACTCAGGATGATCTTTTCTAGTTCCATCCATTTGCCTGCAAATTTCATGATTTCTTTTTTTTTTTTTTTAAGTAGTATTCCATTGTGTAAATGTGCCAGAATTTCTTTATCCATTTTTTGGTTGAGGGACATCTAGGTTATTTCCAGATTCTGGCTATTATGAGTAAAGCTGCTATGAACATAGTTGAACAAGTGTCCTTGTTGTATGGTAGGATATCTTTTGAGTACATACCCAGGATAGTTATAGCTGGGTCTTAAGCTAAGTTATTCCCAATATTCTAAGAAAGTGCCAGATTGATTTCCAAAGTAGTTGTACAAGTTTACATTCCCATCAGCAATGAAGAGCGTTCCCCTTTCTCTACACTCTCGCCAGCATGTGCTGTCACTTGAGATTTTGATCTTAGCTATTCTGACTGGTGTGAGATGGAATCTCAGAGTCATTTTAATTTGTATTTCCTGATGACTAAGGAAGTTGAGCATTTCTTTAAGTGTTTCTTGGCCATTCGAGATTCCTCTGTTGAGAATTCTCTGTTTAGTTCTGTGCCCCATTTTTTAAATTGTGTTATTTTATTGGTGTTTGATTTCTTGAGTTCATTACATATTTTGGATATTAGCCCTTTGTTGGATATAGACTGGTGAAATCTTTTCCAAACATGTAAACGGTCTTGTCATTCTATTGACAGTGTCCTTTGCCTTACAGAAGCTTCTCAGTTTCAAGAGGTCCCGTTTATTAATTGTTGATCTTAGAGCCTAAGCTGTTGGTGTTCTTGTCAGAAAGTTGTCTCCTGTGCCAGTAAGTTCGAGGGTCTTGAGGCAAGGTTTTTCTGTGTAGCCCTAGTTGTCCTGAAACTCACTCTGTAGCCTAGACAGACTGTCCTCTGCCTCCTGAGTGCTAGGACGAACAGTGGACTCTCCCACCACCATCACAACCTGGCCTTGGCTGACATCTTTAGGGTGGAAGATGTGATAGCAAGACACTTATCCCTGAGTAACCTCAATGGAGAAAGGCGACAGCCTGGCCTACGTGACAGGGGAGAGTCCAGAACTGCTGACACACACAGCCAGTTCTAACCTAGATTAGGAAACGGAAATGAGTCTGTTCACAAATTAAACTCTTCCTTAGCAGGCCAGTGAAATTGCTCAATGGTGAAAGGTGCTTGACTTGTAAGCCTGAGGACATGATTCAGTCAGTGGAGTCCCCAACAAGAGAAGAACCGAGAGCTGTCCTCTGACCCCGGCAAACACGGTCCATGTTGCAGCGGCCCTTCACCCAACTCACACGTGAACACACAAGAGAACAATTCTCCCTCAGAGTTTTGAAAAATTATAAAAGCACAATAAAAGAGCAACGGATACTGAAATTGTGATGCATTTACACAATGGAATATCACCCAGCAATTAAAAACAAGGAAATCATGAAATTTTCAGGAAAATGGTGAGAACTAGAAAAGATCATCCTGAGTGAGGTATCCCAGAGGCACAAAGACACAGAGGGCATAATATAAGTAGATATTAGACCTATAATATAGGATAAACATACTAAAATCTGTATACCGAAAAAAAAAAAAACTAAGCAAGGAGGACCCTGGGTAAGATAATCAATCAATATTACAAAAGAAAAATTGTAATATTCTAGACGTCCTGAATACCCAGAATATTGACATTAACACTAAGCTGATTACAAGTAAAGATGCCTCATAGCGGCCTCCCCAGAAAGGAAGTCACGACACAGCAGTGTTGTGTGGTAGGAGAACCTGTCCTTGATGGTGTTTCAAACTCATCTTTTAAAACATCAAATTTAACACTTTTCTGTGTTGAGCAGAAAACTGGAAACAAAATAAATCAACGACTACTTCCAAGATGGGATAAAATGTTTTGTTTTGTTTTTAACCCACATAAATACAAGATACAAAGCATTCCTTAGAAGCTGATTCAGACTCAGTTCATAGGAAGCTAATGTTTAATCTGACTGAGGAAAGTGTCTCTGCATCCTGCTTTCTAACACAGCAATACAACACAAAACCCAAACACAACAACAAACACAACAGGGGAGATGCTTTTCCAACATAAGTACATGAAGCACAAGACAAAAAAAGGACAGGTTAGCAAAAGCAGGTTGAGCCCATCTGGCATGGTATCCAGCTCTCTTCCCGGGAACAGAACAGGACTCACCATGTCATAAGTTGTGACAATCTTCTTCAGAACCTCAGGCACTATGGCCTGCAGCTCCATGGTGGGGTAGGGCTCACTAAGATTCAAGACCACCAGGGGGGTATTGTCAGGCCCCAGGAATCGAGGAGACACAGCCAGCATGCACTGCATGAGGTTGGCCACTGAGGAGAGGCCACATAGCTCCTTGAACGACACCACTGCATTCTGCAAAATAGAAAGGAGAGCTTTGGTCATTGTGGTGGCTCTTCTTGGTTGTCAACTTGACTACATCTGGAATTAACTAAAACCCAAATGGCTGGGCATACATGTAAGGGTTTAATTTTTCTTAATTAAACCATTTGAAGTATAAAGACCCATTTCTAATCTGGATTAGATCTTGGAAGCGGGAAGACCCACCTTTAATCTGGGCCACACCTTCTGCTGAAAATCTATACAAAGGGCATAGAAGAAGAAAGCCTTGTCTCTCTTTGACCGCTTGCTCTTACTCTCAGCTAGCAAGCTCATACTTTCACTGGCATTAGAGCCTACTTCTTCAGGATTCCAGTGTATATTGAAGACCAGCTGAGATGTCCAGTGAGCAACTACTGGTTTCTTGGACCTTTCATTAGTAGATAACCATTGTTGTACTAGAGGGAGCACAGCCATACTAAAACAGCCCCCATACACATGCATACATTCTAGTCAGAGTATGCATCAGGTATATGACTCTAGGCATGCTTGTGCCCTGTTTGGGCAGAGCAGGTGGCCAAAAGGGCAGATCTAAGCTCGTAAGCAATTCATGTTCTATAAATAAGTTTTGAATTTAAACAGTTCATTTTTATTAATATTGCTTTAAACATGGACACCAAGCTATGTATCATCTTGTTCAAAATCATTTTGTGACCATGTATAGAAATAAATTATTGTGATGTCTAAAGTATCTTCCCCCAAGCTGTCTGTGATAACTCCGTTTTTCTTCACAATATATCCTGCATCTGTCACCTGAGCCTGTATTTCCTCTTTCCACCAGCCACCCCTACCTGCAGCACAAGTCCATCAAGGACTGGCTGCTGTTCATTGGTTCCTACCACACTCTCACAGCCAGATAGACAACACACAGCACATGCTTACTAAGCACCACTACAGAAGGCTCTGTGGAGTTCAGTACAGATAGGTCCTGAAGGCATGACGTCTGAGCCCTAACAGGTCCCCAAAGGAATTGTGTTCCATATGCTCACCAGTAGCCACAGGCAGGAGACAATGTGGTTTATTCAGAACTGAGGATTTGCCAAAATGCATGCACCCTCAACAATGTAGAAACCCTTCCAGTTTTGGTTATGCTTTAACCTTGAGAGGAAGATGATAAATATACTGATTGCAGGCGACTTCTTACTCATGAGGTGGCTACAGAATTAGATAGGGTACATATATTGAAAGTGTTTCCTTGGTTAGAGTTTACTGTGAATGTCATTTTTATAATAGTGGCTTAAGAACAAACAAAGGGGATAAAGAGATGACTCAGTGGCTAAGAGCACCGACTGCTCTTCCAGATAACCTGGATTTGATTCCTAGCACTCACATGCCAGCTCACAACAGTATTTAACTCCAGTCCCAGGGGATCTGAACCTCTTCTGGTCTCTGTGGGTACCAGGCATAAATGTGGTGCCTGCACATACGTATAAAATAAAATCAATGCATCTTTTTAAAAGAACAAACAAACCTGTCAGCGTGCCTGCCACATGGAGCTCACACAGATTGCTGTGAGCTCTCTGTAAGGAAGAACCAAGGCATCTATATAGACATCCTCACCAATCCTAGCACACGGCTAGATATGTGGCCTATCCTTAACACATATACACTTCTTAACTGAATACTGAGACACGTCATTTCAGAACAAATTATCATCTTAAGACTTTCACAAATCCATTTACCATAAATATTTTATGTAAATATCCTCTAAAATCAAGAGAACACTTGGTCATTTAAATGTTCTTTAAGAAAGATCTGGAACACATCCCTTTTACTTTAACCAATCTCCCTTTTGATAGGTCATCAATTTGTGTTCAATCTAAGGAAATAATATTCAACAACATCAGAAATTCCCATATATACCACATTAAAAAACATAGCTGTTAACTGGTCATAAGAGGAACATGGGTAAGCATGTTCCATATGAGTCAGCAACAAGACCAGTTTAATCCAGCATGCAATCAATATTTCAACTACAGCTTTTAATGTTGAGAAATGAGACTAATGATAAAGACTCTAACAAGCAGTTGAAATTTACAAAGTATTTAAAATTAAATATACTATTAAAATTAAATATACTATTGCAAAAAATAAATATATACAAATCACAGACGTACAAAATAGAAATTTAAACATGAACACACACCTGCATGTTCTCTCTCAGGTCCGTGGCATCCCGTATGGGGGGCTGGGCATTCTTGAATACCTCATCTACAGTTTTAATCCACAATGTTCTCAGAGATGCGTATTCCCGGGACTTTTTCCCTTTTCTCACAGAAAGGCCCCTTTTGTGAGGTTTCCCTCCTCCTCTTCTGTTAGTAATAGCCACATGGACGAACAAGGAGGCATGGGCAAGGACCTCTCCTGTCAAGGACTGCAGAGGGACATGACGGTAGCCCGTCTGTAAACATTCAAAGGGAATCGTGTACTGGCCAATAAATTCGTCCCCAATGTAGTCATCATCCAGAACCACAAAGCGCACCATGGCTAGTTCAGGGAGGTTGATTTGAAATTCAAAGCTTTCATCAAAAATGGGAGCATCTCCATTCTGGTTCACAGTTTTTGTCCTTTGCTCTGCACAGTCAGCAGGAATTCCATGGATTTCCACATAGACGTAAGGATCTACCACATCCCCTTTGGCACCTGATCCTTTGGGTTTGGGAAAGTTCTGGCCACTTATGATTTTGATGTGAAGTAACTGAGGTGAAACTCCAGGGACAGAGTCCTTTGTGTTGGCACTGAAGAAGGAGACTTCTTCCCTCATGATGGCTGGTCGAAGGACATAGCCACAGTTTCCATTCTGCCTAAACCAGCCAATGTTCAGGTCCATCATCAGCCCCGGAGTCTGAAAGTTCATGGCTACAATCTGACAGCCACATTTCCAAAAGTCTTGAGGGTTCATGTTACTAGAGTCAATTCTCATGGGACTAGGAAAAACCCTGGCCAGAAAACGCTTATTGTAATTTACAAAGTCCCCAGGGTTCTCATTGGCGTACTTGCTGGCAAGCACTTCATTAAAGGAGCAGACCTCCCAGTATTTCTGCACCTGAAACGATACCTGAAACTCTCTAAACTGGACTGACTTACAGATGCTCACCAGTTCAGACAGTTCTTTGCAAAGCTGAAATCGCTTTACAGGCACATGGTTGGATTGCTCCACGTTCTCTTTCCCCATCCTCTGAGACATTTCTGCTCCTTCATCTTCATCAGTAACATCCCCTTCCACACCAGAGCAACTTGAAGATAGCTTCTTTGCTTTGATTAGTATTTTCCCTTTCAGGACATCTGGGGAAGGTAGGTAAGATTCCTCCATGTTGGGTGATGTTGTGTATAGCTTGTCTCCTAAAATTTTCTTCATGTGTTGAACCATCACTTTCTGCTGTTTAATAGAACAGTGATTTTCTAAACATAAGATAAGAGGATACTCAGAGGCAAAGAATGCATACTTGTTAATAATGTCAATGACACTGCGGAAGACTATCTGAGAGGTCATGGTGTGGCCAGTGTAAATCACAGGCTCGTTATCCGGCCCATCCCACACATCTAATTCAACACTCCTGCAACCCATTTTAAGAGCTCGGATATAGCCTGTGATGTCAGAGGGCCCCCGAAACTGATCCTCTATTAAGTATGTATTATGAGATGAGTTTATAAAGTAATGAGATAGAGGTTGCTTCATATCCTGACAGACCTTCTTATGTTCTGGGTCAAATATCAAACAATCAGATGACATCAGGTAATTAGTAAACCCATCTATGGAGAGCCATCCCTTTTCCTGGCCTTCTTTAGATGGCTCATATTTGTGAATAATTTCAAGGCTTATTTCCTCATTTATATGTGCTACACCCTGTTCTGCCTCAAGAAACATCATAAGGTCCTTGGTATCAAGGAATTCTTTATTGCTTGAAAACTGAACTAAAAGGAAGTAAATTTCAGGTCTAGTACAAAGTTCATGAAAAACCTCAATAAATTCTTCCTTTGTGATTTCAGTATCAGCTTTGTCCTTTGATTTATGCAATTCTTTGAACTTAAGCTCAATTTTGCTTGTTTTTAAACCAGGGTTGAGATTTCTGATACACTGAACAGCATTACACAGCGTTATATGTCCAAGGTCATCTACATCAATTTCACTAAACATTTGTGAAACCCAAGAAGTCCTCATGTTGTCTTGGCTACTTTCTAACATATCGAGTGTATGTTTCCCATAAGAAATCAGGTATCGGAGTCCCGTCACCCAGATGTTCGCAACATCTGCAGAATTGGCAACCAAATCAAGTGACTCATAATTCTCTCCATATATGACTGAAAATGCACAATCTTCAGATATCTGCTCGGAAATGCCATTGCTTCGGAATATATCTGTGTTCTTCCCTGTTCTCACTTCCTTGATAGATTTGATATCAATCTTGGCTTTCTCAGAATCCTTCTTAGATGGCTCCCACCTCAGGCTTTGCATGTCGGCATCCAGCAAAAAATACCGATGATAAATCCTGGAGTTAGAACGAACCTTTTTGAGTTCAGAACCCTCAACCATTGAGTTGATACAGTCACTTGCACTGCTGATCTTCTTCTCAGTTGGCATACTGCTGAATGATACAGTTTTCTTCCGCTCTCTTTTCTGTTTTGTGCCATCCTGGAGGGAAGAAAAGTATGTTAGGATAACACAAACACAGGTGTTCATATTCAGACTAAGAATTACAATCTAATTCCTTGAAAAAAATGTATCCTATTCTGGATCTGGTGATGAATGACAGCTGTTCATCTTTAAAGTTTAGAAGAGGCCTTAGAGACTGTGATCTAATGCCAATGGGCAAGAAATTATTGCTTAATAACCGCAACTCAAATTTGTCAAGGAATCTCGGTCCTACAGAGCAGACACTTGTTTACACTGGCTACACAATTTTCAGGAAATACAAGACTCCTTTGCTCACAAGCTATCAGGAATTCCAAGGCATCAAGAGAACACTAAGCCAACTCTAGTACCCATTTGCTTTGTGGGACCTTCGAAACTACACCATTTATGTACCTGTGCAGGCACAGATCTCCTACATCAGTGCTTCCTATGGGCTCAGCATCACATGCCTCAAAATCAACTGGGTTACTTGTTTAAAATACAGAATTCTGAGCCTATGGAATCAGGTCCCTAGGAATGGTGACAGTACCCCACATGATGGGTACATGCTTACTATTATGTTTTGACTATTTTATTCCTCAACTCTATATTTGACTAGGCTAGAATTGGTTAAGTATGAATCCACAAAGTATATATTGAATGAATAGACACTGGAATTCCTGCTTTTTGCAGAATCACATTAGGCTCCTGCATACCTCACTACTATAGCTATGCTGGGCATGAGAGGAGTTACAGGTTATAGCTGGGGTGCATCTAAAATTATAGAGTTAAGAGTTATTAAAATCTGCTGCTGTGCATCTGGATGCTACTGCCCAGGAACCTCCAATATAAACATGGGGTTATAGGGCTACCCAAGGGAAAAGCTTCCAGGAGCACCTAGGAATTTGCATCCTCTGATTTCCTGCAAAATTCAGCATATTCACACTTAAGAGCTAACACTCACAGTCAATTGTATATTTCAAATCTTCACTATAGACATACTTTTATTTGAAAAAAAAGAAAAAAGGTGAAATGATTGCAAATATCTTTGGTGGTCTGAGCTTAAAAGAGCATTAATTTTCAGAAAGTATATGAAATCTGTGACAAAATTTTAGTAATTTACTATAGTCATAAATAAGGAACAGAATAGAAATGCAGGGTTGGGACAGTACAAGTTTTTCATAAAAAAAAAATGTAACCATATAAACACATTCAAAGGCATGCTTTTCCCGCTCTGCATAGAATCTATTTAAATAAACTCTCTATATTTAAAAAAATCTACCATCATACTATCTATATCCAAAATTTAAAACTATTCTTACTTTTTGATTATCTATACTTCCAAAACCAATTTGCAGAAGGTAACTAAACTTAATCTTTAAATCATTTGGGTTTCCATTTCCTCAAAGTTTTAAATGAACTATGGAGGGTTTTGTGATCTGAGATAAAAGGAAAGAAAGCCATCAGGCAGAGCATTTTTCACAACTATATCATCAGAATGATAAAGTACAAAAGGAGGCAAAAGCTGTGGCAACAGCATCTGTAAGATGAATGGTATCATAGTTATTCTAAATCCCTAGAGCAGAGGTTGATTCTAACTTTTTAAGTGAATTGGCATAAAATCAAATTTGTAATCAGCCATGCATAAGGGCATGAAACAAATGTATAAATTTTCTATTTGTCAGAACAAAGTGCATCTTTGTCTCTAAAAACCGACATTTTCCTTTAGTAACGGCAACATGCTAATTTAGTAAGGGAATTTCATAATCTATAAATTATACCTCAAAGTACTACTGGTAAAATGAAGTCCCAAAGATAAATGGAGGTGTTTATCCACTGATCCATTAAAAAAACATAGTATTTTCTCAGCACTGTCCATCTTTTATTTTCCCATTTTTATGCTGCTTAATAATTTACTGCTACTTTCTACATTGCTACAAAAAACACATTTCACATTCACGATTTTCTATGGAGAAGACTAAACAGCAAAGTTCCTTAACAGCATACACATGCATTCATGTCAGTGTCTGTGGGACAGGCAGTAGCTTAAATAGCATACCATGGCTTTACAAGTATGGCCTCCCTTTTTATAAACCAGGCCAGGCTCTGACTGGTGAGTGCTGGTCATTGACTAAACTGATGCACACTCATGATAGTCACCCAAACGCAGCCTGAAACAATGGCTGCAACTCCTTATCAAACTTCGTAGCTAGTCTCCCCTCCATATCTGCTTTTAGCCAAAACCATCTTGTTTTCTCTATAACAAGATTTTAATGAAAACATTCTGTTTCTCCTTCACTACTAGCAGACAAAGCCATTAGAAACCTCAAGACTGTGCTTGTTTACAAATGGTTTGGAGCCTAACTGTACCTCCTTCCCCAAAGCTCATGTGCTGAAAGCTTGATCCTTGTTCAGCAACATTCAGAGGTCAAATCTTGAGGAGGTAACTGAACCATGAGGGTTCTGACCAGATGAAAGGATTATTCCATTTATAGATTCGCAAGTACTTGGAATATATGAGCTGGTAAAAGCTTTCCAAGCTTTGTTAGAGGCTTGTTAGAGGAAGTAAGTCACGGAAAGCAAGTCCTTGAAGGGTGTATCTTGTTCCTGCTCCTCTCTACTTATTGCTTCCTGGCTGCCATGAGGTGAGCAGCTTGTCAACGTGCTCCCAACAGTGTTATTCCGTCTTATTACATATTCAGAAAAAAATGAAGACAAGTAACTGTGGACTAAAGCCTCTCAAACTATTAGCTGTAATAAATACTTTCTCTGTGCAAGATGGTTTACTAAGCTTTTGGTCAGTGAGACAGGAATGAACTTGATTTATATATCAACAGCTAGACCAGATTTCCTGGCTGGAAAAATACAGGTGGACATTATGCAAAGACAAATGTATAGCTGGGTTCCCTACAGCCAAGGCTGAAGACAAAAGTACCTGAGCAGGACAGAAAAAGAACTAGGGAAAGATGGCAGAAGACCAGTCCTCATCCACCTAACTCCTGGATTCTACCCTTCCCTGCTTATTTCAGCTTGGTATAGACTTTTTAACCCAGCTGTGATTTAGCCCTCCTAGGCTAAACAGCAGGCCAGTGGCAGAGTTGGAACCAATTAACTATATGTGCCATACATACAGATTTTTATTATTATTTTATTTTAACTAAAACAAACAAACAAACAAACAAACAAACAAAAAAACCTAAATGGATCTGGCATGTATCAACTGAAACTAGAAAAAAATAGAGCTTTCTGCTAAATTGGAGATGTCTCAAGTAATCTTCTGAATGTTAAAACTTATTCCTCAGAGCTAGCTGATATACACACCTAACACTTTAGAATGGAGAAAATGACAATATGAAAACTTGCTCTAATGATACCTTTCTGCTACTCCAGGGCACTTACTAACAAAAGAGACAGTATACAAATGGCCTGGACTAGGAGATAAATGGTTTACTAAAGAGTTTCGCTCTCTAACAATCTTGAAAATGTGTGTTTCTTTATAAAGAACCATAAAGAACGCTTAAAGATTCCATTAGACACAAATGAAAACTTATTTACAGAGAACAGGAATAGTGTACCAAGAATGATTTTAGAGAAAGCAATGAATTAGGAAGAGGCTAAGGAAATGTTTGCATCACAGCAAAACTCAGGAAAAACTGAAATCTTTTTAGGACTCACATCAAGCATTCAAAGTGGAAAGAGCCACACTGTGTTTCCAGAATAAAACCTGCCTACTTTAATTAGTAGAAAGTTGTTACCAAAATTAGAAGGCCATCTGTGATATGTAAGCAGGAATAATTTCATAATGGGCAAGAGTTCATAAATTCTTACCCTGAGATACAGTAGCTCTCATTTCTCTTGCTGGCAACCAAGTAGAAGGCACTGATGCCTAAGAGCCCAACCTGTGTGTAATGTTTATCCACAAGCACACAGGAGGCATGCCATTTCCTATTAACATTTTCCTTACCTTCTCAAGTGATTGGCTACATAACAGATTGATTACTACTTGATGAACACCATGCAAAACTTATGGATCAATAGCCAGGATTGATATCTTTGCAAAAGAGTGGACAAGTCAAACTTGTGAATCAGGTGTGCAAGCAGGGGAATTTCAGAAAGGGGGGGAGGGTAAAGCATGACAGGAACACTTTATGTTTGCAGTTTTGAATGAAGCTATTTCACCTGGATTATAGATAACACAGAAGAAAGAAATCTATCCAGAAAGTCTAGATCAGTTGAGAAACAACACACTAAAGAAATTTCTCTTTAAAAACAAATAAACCAAGAAAGAACGTGAGGTCCATTAAGCAAACACACTTCAATAACAGTAATTCTTGAATTGAAAGAAGCGGCCATGCCAGGCCTAGCAGGTTACCTTGGAGAGTTTTTCACACATCTTTAAATTTTTGATGTACTTGCTAAGATAGGGAGAGGAAGAGATCTGGGGCAAAACAGTCACTCTGAAGGTCAGATGAAGTGAAGAAATACAGGGCAGTGTGAGCAAGGGCCGGGTATAGTCAATGCTGATTCTGGTTCATGTGTCAGGATCTTTAACTCCATGTATGAAAAAGTTACATGGCCCAGAGAGTGAGAGACCTTGGAACACTAGGCCCTAAATGGGATGTCTTTATCAAATCCCTCCCCTCAAGAGCACAGTAACCCTGCAGAAGAGGAGGCTTCCAAAAAGAGTGTAAAAGCCAGAAGGGATGGAGGACACCAAGAACACAGGCCCCTCTAAATCTATGGGAGTGTTAGGTCACAAACACAAGACAAAGGGGCTGAGGTGCCTACTTAACATATCAACAGACCTGGATGCCAGGTAGTCCCAAGCTTCTCAGTTCCTACCAATACTGGGTCCTTCTGCCTGTCATAGCAGATCTCCTACACAGGGCCTGGGCTGCCCTTCCCTATATAACCCAAATCCAACCATTTTGGTTACTTGATCTTTTCATCTACTGTCTTGGCCAGTCCCACGGTCAGCAGCTGCCCTCCTCTCTCCCCTCCCACTCTCCTGAAATAGTCCA